AATAAGAGCATCTTCGACAGCTATGTTATAATTTTTTTACAATAGAGTATGAAAAGTCAAAATCTCTAAAAAAATTATATTCAACTCTAACAGTTACTCTATTTTAGCAATTTTAGTATTAATCATATTAATAGTATATATTCAATACATCCAACAACTACTTTATTTCTCTCCTACACAACTTCAAAAAGTTTAATTGGTTGGATATGATTAAAATATTGTTTTCCTCTCATTTATAGAGTTTTAAATATTTCTTTAAATTTAGAGATTTTTACAATCTCTTTCTTCTTTTCTTTATTATAGCATTAAGAATGGCATATTTATTAAAATACAAAGTTTCACCTTCAATTTCAATTGTTTGAGTAAATTCTAAATATTTATTAAACTCGTACTGATATTATGTCTTTAGATTCTTATTACTTTCAGATAGATAAATAAATATCTTTATCACTATCATTATCATTATCATTATCATTATCAGTATAAAACTTAATTATTGAGTAAAGAGTAAATTGGGAAAATCACAAAAACTTAAATGTCCTATCTAATGTTGAATTAGCTTTTAAAACTTCATCTTCTGGTTCATTCTACTTACTTAATCAAACAAAATATGGATTGAACAAATACGTTACTAGTATAGCAAATGGTGTCAAAAGTTTGATCTTCCGTTTTTAAATTTTCTTCCACCATTCATAAATTTGGTATTTTCTTACTTTTACAAAACATCAATCATAGAGCCATATAAAGAGAGATGACGTAGAAAGCCATTTATCAAAGACAACCGATTACTGATCACACAAGAAATGACATTAATGAATCCCTTTTCAAAGCCCAATCTATTTTGATATATGGCATTTTTGCCTTTATTTCAATAACTTCAACAATTTCAGTGTTTACCGTTAACATTAACACTCGTCTCAGAGAAAAATTAAGGTTTTTGAGGGTGATATGACAACGTCTCTGATGAGAGAACAAGATTTAAAAATCCTAGAGAGTTCTATCATTCCATTCTGTTTTAGTCAATGTCTATTTGTTTACCTCTTAATGATGTCATTAAGAAGTAAACTTCTTGATCAGTCAGACATAGGCCTTGTTTGTTTTTTTCGTTTTTTTGTTTTTTTTTTTTTTCGTTTTCAGCTCTTAATTACCACTTATGTCTCATTCATTCAAACATTTTGTATTTCAGACTGTTTGTTTTTTTATTATTTCCAAAACCTCTTATCACTTAATAGAGTCTGAATATATAAAAGGTAAACTAATATCTTAATTCCTTTTATTTTCCATTTTCTATCATTCTCTTTGGCTATTGCTTCTTTTCTCTACCAGGGACACACTGTGTGAAATGCATGCCCCCACCTTCTCTCTCTCTCTCTCTCTCTCTCTATATATATATATATATATATATAGGTTGGTTATTATACAACCCATGACATTTGTGCAACCAATACAACTCAATCTCAACCGTCCATTTCATTTGATTAATATGTGATTTCATAGAAGTTTTGATTGTTTTCTAATATAAAGTATTGATCATAATTAATGAACCATATTCATCTTTCATAAATATTCAAATCATAATAAATGAACTTTCATCATTTCCATAAATATCTTAATTTATTGAGTTGCATTGGTTGTACAAATACAACATGTTGTATTTGAAACAAACTATATATATATATATATATATATATATATTTTATAGGTACAAGATTAAATGTTAACCAAAGTTTTTGTGTTAACTTTGCAAACCATGTCAACCAATCACAATCCATTCTTCTATTAGGTTAACAATTTAATGCCATGTCAATCAAATCGTATTAACAATTTAATGTCAAGGGTAATTGAGTAATTTCATTTGCTATATAACTCCCATACCATTAAAGAGGAGTTACAAAATCATAAAATTTCTAAAAATATGCATTTATAATATTGATATTTTTATTTATTTTTTAATCTTGATCTTCCATTTTTATTGTTTTATGAGTTTTTGATTTGTAGAGGAAACACGGTAGTAAAATATTTGTTATCGTTCAAGTTGTTAAGAATAAATGCATTAGAAAAAAAATCGACAACATTGAGAAGATTAAAATGGTTTATGGTGGCAATTGGAGTTTGAGTTCGGGAAGTGAAGAAATTAACCAAAGCGAATGTCTTGGTAATGGATTAATATTTTATTAGACTCGATCGAAATTATATTCATTATGATGAGTTGTATTTTTTGTAGTTCATATTGCGTTGATAACTTTTTTTTTAATTATTAATACGTACCTAATTCACATGTTCAAATGGAAGTACATGCACAACCCATTTTCGTATTGTCATATTATCGACTTTTATGAATCATGAACCATTGTGTTCATGTTACTTCTATCATATGAACACAAGTGAACACAAGTGTTATCTTTTAAGCTTGATACCAAATCTTTATATTTGTATAAGTGTTTGCACCCGGTGTTCATAGCGTCGGGGTTCATAAATGTGTTCATAAATGTTATGCAGTTCAAGTTCATATATATGTCAATTTTTTGCTCGTATTTGACACAATGGTTCATATATATATTTATGTTCATATGGTTCTTACGTTAACAAAAATAAATTAACAAAAATCATAGAATTTTTTGATTTTGTAACTCTCAATTAATGATATGGGAGTTACATAATTTTTTTTTACCTAAATACCCTTTTCAACTTTGTTCACTTATCTTTATGAAATTTTAAATTTAAAAAAAATAAGTTTTTATCATGATTAATCACAACCGTTTATTGAAAGATTGAATGGTCAATATCGGTTAACAAAGTTAACATAAAAACTTTGGTTAACATTGACCCTATATATATATATATATATATATATATATATATATATATATATATATATTATTGATTCAGATTTCAGACTTCAGCACCACCTATTATTGATCAGAAGTGAAATAAGAGTTCAGACTTTCACCCCTCTTAAAAAACAAACGTCACCATACTGTTGTTTGGCAGGTTTTCCAAAACGCCTGGTATGATACGCTCAATCCCCAATCCATCCCCCATTCCATTCAGATCCCCTCTATCTCCCTCTCCATTCTCGCCTCTCTCCCCATTCACGATTTCTCCTTTCTCTCACACGGAGGAGGCAACAACAACAATTGCCTCGCCAGTCACTCCAGGTTTCTCCCCCTCACCGATTTCATCAATTCAAACAGGGTCGTTATTTGGTATTTCATGATTTGGGTTTGGTATTCCTAAAAAATCTTCGTCGATTCAAACAGGCTTGATGTTTCTTTTATTTTCGGGTTTGGTATTTCACGATTCAAACTCCATTGTTGATGTTTCAAAGTCCATATGAATACTATCATTATGAAGCACCAAATCAGGTTTAAAATTTGTACCATAGTGTGAAGTTCAGGACGAAGTTCAAATGTCCATCAATCTATTGCATGCAAATTGTTCGATATGTAATGTCCGAAAGAAGTTCAACAATTGCATCACATATGCTCAAAGACAAGTTGTAGACTTGGTATTAGAAGTGGTACCACAACAAAAGTCAAGTTTGTGATGAGGACGGAGCAACAAGAGTTACCAAGTTGGTTGTTTCCTCTATGTTTCCGTTCAATTCCCATTCATATATTAGTCGTTCTTATCATCAAATTATGGGTGTCGAGCTCCGACCTATGTTTGTTCCCACCGTTGTCCCTCCCATTTATCGATCAATTTCTCATTTATGTAAAAGTTGCAAAGTCAGGAAGATGCCAAGGATGTGCGCACTATAAAAACTTCATTGTTGCTTAAGCTTCAAAGTCTATATGCCACAACTTGCTAGTTTTTTAAACTTAACTTTGTGATGTTACACAAAGAACCAGCTTGTTCCTTCAAAGTCTACATGTCTTTGCTATTGAATAATGATGCTCCCCAAGGCTTATATGCCACACCTTCTTCCTTCAAAGTTTAAATGCTTCAAATTCGAACATATTGTGTTTGAACTTCCATTTCGTGGGATGTTTTGTTATGTCAAAACTTGAACAACTATTGTTATATTTGCTTAAATTGATATGATATTATGTATCGGCTTGGACCATTAATTATTTTCTACTTTTCAATTAGAAATTTCATTTATAACTTTTGGCAAGTGTTAATTTTTATTCAATCTTCAAGATTGGAGGTAAAATGTCATTGGGACTTTTGATCTAGAACAGTCTCCAAACAATCATTTTCTATTTGACACTAAAGCATATAAAGTCTCTTAACCATTCTAACTACTTAATAATGTCGCACTAAATCATCTTGTATTTAGCAAACAACCCCTTAGCTAATCTCTTTTTACCTCGGTTATATCTATCGATTATATGTTTGTTATACTAACATTTCTTTCTCAACGGTTTGTAAAATACCGGTTAACTTACCATCTTTGTCTTTAAATGTTGAAACGGGTGATACATTTGCAAAAAGATCCATCAAATCATCACTAAAATGAATTTGTTGGATATCATCAATTCGTATGCAAAAAGATCTATCAAATCATCAATTGAATGAATTCGATGAATATCATTGATTCATTTGCAAAAAGAATCCATCATATCATCACTTGAACGACATTGTTAGGCATCATGCACGTAAAATATACTTGGTAAAATACGTTTTCCAACTCATACAAAGACTTGTCTACGCATACTATTCAAAACACCCTCTTCTTGTATGTACTGAATTATTGATCTATGGTCTTCATAAATCACTTGTACCTAGTGACTTAATGAGGTTTATCTAGTAAGTATGCAGAAAGCCAAGTTTTTTTTTTTTTTTGCCAAACTTATCCCTCCCAATTCAAGAACATGCTCATCCATCCACGGAAAAACCCTCCCAAACAAAAACATTTCCAATCTATAGAACAGATTAGTCTACACAAACGACTTTATCCATATATGACTAAATGAAAAACCAACCAAACACCATAAAATTATTAAAAATACATAATTTTCAATAGAACTTAATATATACACATGTACAAAAAGAGTTTCACAACAATTGCTCTCAACGAAAATCAAATATCAGACCACCTAACAAAATATTAAGATAATAAAAATAAGAACTTTCGGTAGAGAAATTTACAAAACATTTTTAGAAAAACATTGACGAAGTGTGTACAACTGTTAATAGTTTTTATCTGTCAATAAATATTTTTTATAAAATAAATTACTAAATACTTACTAATATAAAAATATAAATGGGGCAGGGAGGCTTGCCTCTTTTTCTTTACGTCGCCCCCTCACTGTACATTAATCTTAATTGACCGCTCCATGCACCCCTATATTTTTTCGAAAATGTTCATCGAAGCCGCTTTTCTAACGGACTGGGCAGGCCGAGTCTACTGCAGCATCATGCCCATGAAACAGTGTAGAGAAGACCCCCTCCGAGTACACCCGGGGGCAGGGGTGGCCCTAGAGCTGGGAGAAGAGGGCGGTGGCCCAAGGCAACACAGTCCAACAGTCAAATAAAGTTTAGTAGGCTCATTATTTGATTTTTTTCTAAATTTGTACAAGAGTCCCACTCGGTTTCAAACCTCTTAAAAATATGTGTTATATGTTTCTTGGATTAGGGGCTTTTTTTACTCTCCACCCAGGGCATCCAAAAAACCGGGCGGGGGTGATGGGATGGGGGCTGAGCCGTACGTTCAGATTGTTGGAAGATGGAAATAATCATAAATATAATGCCAATTTAGTAAAGACATTGGGAATTGAAGGAAAGAAAGCAAGAACAGCGGTCATACAACAGACATCTTTACCTCATTTATGTCATTCGTGGATGATAGATGATTTTTAGGACATCAGCGATAGGCTCCAACTTCAAACAATTTCAACAGAATTGGCACGCAAAAGTTTTTCAATGAGTAGCCACGAAATTTGTTGTTGCACTGCAAAACCATGTTATAAGGCCGCTTTTATCAGCAACAGCAACAGCAACAGCAACAGCAACAGCAACAGCAACAGCAACAGGTCCATCAAAAGAAACCATACGAAAAGAGCCCAATATATTGGGGGTAGGGGACTATAAGCAGGCCTGACCTCTACCCCTAGAGAGTAGAGCAACTGTTTCTATTAAGACCCCGGGCTTACAACAAATAAACCATACCGAAAAAGAGCCCAATATATCCCACCCGGGGGTGGGGGTGGGGGTGGGGATTGTACATAGACCTGACCTCTACCTAACTAGCCCATAGAGTAGATTGACTGTTTCCATGAAGACCCTCAGCTTGCAAAAAGATAATCAAAGCCGATGTGCAAGGAAAATAAACAAGGTAATAACATGCCAAGAGTCTGAGTCTGCACACAATTTCCCCCTTGCCATGGGGCAAGATTACACACTTTTTGATTGTTGGATGCAAAAAGAACACAAAATAAGGAGAGCATGTAAGACTTTTCACTTTTACATCGATATGGTTTTATATATGTTAACAATATATCCATAGAAGTGCGTATTATGTCCCTGGCTTGAAGCACAACCTGCTAAGTGTAGGGCCGCTACTACAAAAGGGGTATGAACTACAATTCAAAGGTGAGTCTTGTGATGTTAAGGATCAATATGGAGGCCTAAGGGGACGTTTACCAAAAGCTTCCTCGGGTAAGTGAACACCAAGTCACATTACCTTATCAATGAATATGGAGAGAACCAAAATTCTTACCTGGTAAGAGCGAGACAAGGACCAAGAGTCTTACCCGATAAGTGAGGGCGACGACTCTTACTACGGTAAGAGCTTACCTGGTAAATTGTTGCATATGATACCGTTTTGGTGGACTAAAATCTTACCTGGTAAGTAAATCTTAGTATTAAATTTTACCGGTAAGCACTTACCGGATAAGTGTTTGGTAAACGGCCCTTAATAGGGAAAATCAACATGACAGGAAACAAAATGTTCCCTATAGGTTTTAAAGAGGACAATTTCTTTCTTTCCACCTATCTAAAAAACAAAATTCCCTGTTATGGCACCATAGATTTGGTCATGCAAATCTTGGGTACCTAAGCTATAGGCAAAGACATAACTTAGTGAAGGGAATGCCTGCCATAAACAAGATTGATGAGATATGTGAAAGTTGCATGGTTGGAAAGCAAGCAAGAGAATCATTCCCACAAGAAGGAGCATGGAGAGCCACAAAATCTCTTGAGCTTGTCCACACAGATGTGTGTGGACCCATGAAAACTCTTTCCATAGGTGGAAACAGGTACATACTCACTTTTATTGATGACTTTAGTAGGAAATTGTGGGTATATTTTCTAAAAAAAATCTGAAGTCTTTGACTATTTCAAAAACTTTAAAGCAAATGTTGAAAGCAAAGTGGTAATCTGATCAAATCTCTTAGATCAAACGGGGTTGGGGAATACAACTTTGGCACTCTGCTTACTTTATTGATTTTTTGAAGGAAAATGGCATTCACCATCAACTAACAACTAGATATACCCCCCAGCAGAATGGGGTAGCAGAAAGGCTTAATAGAACCTTAATTGAGAAGCTAAAAGCATGTTAAGAGGCAAGAACTTGGACCATTCCTTTTGGGCAGAAGATGTGGCTTGTGCTTGTTATTTGTTGAATAGAACTACTATAAAAGGTCTATCCAACATAACACCACAGGAAGCATGGAGTTGCTACAAGCCAACTGTAGGCCATCTAAGAACTTTTGGATGCATAGCCTATGTGCACATACCTTAACAAAAAAGGACCAAACTAGATGATAAGTCTGAAAAAACTATATTCATAGGATATAGTGACAAGTCCAAAGCCTATAAACTTTATAATCCCATCACTAGGAAAACCATCATAAGCAGGGATGTCATCTTTGAAGAGGGGAAAGGATGGAATGATCCATCAAACCAAGCTATCAACACTACACAGATTCTGGAAGAAGATCAATTTCAAAAGGATGAAGGTACATAACAGATTGACCATGATTCACACAATCAAGATACCCCTAACATGCCTCAAAACACAGAAAACTCAAATTCCCTTAAAATCTTCACTGAAAGTCCTCCTAAAAGAGGATACAAGAGTCTGAGGGACATCTACAATATCCAAGAAGCTTGGATTTCAATGATGCTGTAGATTTTGTTTTATTTTCTGATGCAGACCCTGTGACATTTAAGGAAGCCTACCAAGATGCAAAATGGAGAGATGCCATGAATAAGGAGATAGAATCCATCATGAAGAATAATATTTGGGAATTAGTCAGTCTCCTAAATGGACATAAATCCATTGGAGTTAGTCAGCCGAATTGAAAATTATTTTGTTACAAACGACTTCAACAAATGTTCATGGGGACATACTCTTTTCACTCAAAAGGTTGAAGGTATGATTCTCATGATATGCATATATGTAAATGACTTAGGGGCTGTTTACTTGCGGCTTAATTAGGCTTATTGGTCTATCTGGCTTATTCGCACAGCTCGTTTGGGTTGTTTACTTAGGGCTTATTCGCACAGAACATGGCTTAATCGCACAGATAGAAATGGTGTGTTGTCCTCATTCAGCCACAAAAATGACACCCCTTCCCCTTATTTAAAGCATGGCCTCCTTCCCAAATGAGACACCCCATCATCAACCTCTTTATGATTTTTTGTTTTGATGTTCAAATAATTAATATTGGGGGATAAATCGGTCATTTATGTTATTCAGACTGTTGGTTCAGATAAAAAAAGTAAACAAAAACACCCATTTATCTAGACAGACAAATTTATACATACAAGACTTAATAAAAAATTTGGTAAACAGTCCCTTAGTATTTACAGGCAACTCACAAAAGCTAATAAAAGACTTCACGGAAAGTATGAAGAATGAATTTGAGATGACTGATATGGGCCTTCTACATTATTTTTTGGGAATTGAAGTAAAGCAAGATGAGGAAGGTATCAAAACATCTCAGCAAAGGTATGCTCAAAATCTTTTGGATAAATTCAATTTGGGACAGCTACTCCTATCATTCCTATGGAATTTGGACTCAAATTACATAAAGATGATGAGGAAGAGTTTATAGATGCCAATATATATAGAAGCATGGTGGGCAGTCTGATGTACCTGACTGCCACGAGACCAGACATTGTTTTTTCAGTCAGTATCATAAGTAGGTACATGGAAGTACCTAAAAGAAGCCACTGGGAAGCAAGGAAGAGGATCCTCAAATATGTCAAAGGAACTTTGGATCATGGCATCGTGTATTCAAGGATGGAAAACTTCAAACTAACTGGATACAGTGATAGTGACTATGGTGGTAGCATGGACAATGGGAGGAATACTGCTGGCTATGTGTTCCATCTGGTGTTCCATCTGGGAAGTGGAGCAGTGTCTTGGCAGACAAAGAAGCAAAGTGTGGTAGCTTTGTCTTCAACTGAAGCAAAGTACATGTCCCTATCTGTTGCAGGTTGTCAACTGTTATAACCGGGTTCCAGACAACGTCGGTTAAGGTAACCTTTATGTGAATATATGTGAAATACGTGATGACATGCATGTTATTTAATTAAATGCATGGATAGTATGCGTATATGTGAAAAAGGTGATACTGTGCATGCATACGTAGATGTTCACATGTGTGTGCACATAAATTGAATTACATGTTGATTGGATAAAATGCTTAACCGGTTTAGTAATATTTTATTTGAGAAGGAGGGTGACCTTCATGGTTAAGAAAGAGTAGATTTTAAAATATTAAAACCCACTGCCCAAAGAGTTTTATATGAATAAATCTACCACCGCCTTTGTTAAGGAGGTATAAAAAGAAGATTAAGAGATAAGATCCTATCTTATCTTACTTTTGGAGGAATTTTGAGAGAAAAAGAGTGTGTGGCGGTGGAAATTGTTCTTGAGAAGATCTAGTGTTCAAAAGGGATTAAGGAAATCGGTGTTTATTGAAAGAAACTGCAGTGCGTTTAAATCTTCAAGTTTGTGCTTAGTAAGGTGAGTCTTTGATACTAAGACCTTATATGATGTTATTTAAACTGTTGGGTTTTGATAGTTTGATATTTGGGAAAAGATTGGTAAAACTGTTTTCTAACAGTTTATAAATACGTGTTTATGATCTTAGATTTGGAAACTGTTTTGGAAAGATAAAGAAGATTTGGCTTCTTAAAAACAGTTTATGGATGATATCCTATTTTAAGGATTTAAAGGAGATTTCGAGTTTGGAAATGATGTCGAAAAGAGCTGGTTGTTCTCTTATGTTTCAAAGTTTTAAGACAAAACTGTTTTGAAACCATTATTGGTTAAAAACTATAGAGGATATTCCTTCAAGACGGTTGTGACTTTGGTCTGTCTTCGTTTGGGATTAATCTATAGATTTTGTGGATAAAACTATGGAGGTTGTTTCATCAAGACGGTTGTGACTTCGGTCTGTCTTCGTTTGGAACTAATCCATAGATTTTGATAAAGAAATAAGGGTGGCATATCAAGGAGAGGTGTACCATGGGATAAGGGTGACATATCAAACAGAGGTGTACCTTCGGTTATAAGGATCGCATATCAAGGAGAGGTGTACCTTTGGATATAAGGGTGGCATTTGTGTGTGGAATTATTATAACTCTTTCTATTATGTCTCTTGAGACTACAATAGATTTGAGTTCTTACTTCTTTGTAATTTGAGGACTCGGAGATGTTGTTCTTATTAGAAATGATAGTATTGATTTTATTGAGAAGGGGAAAACTTGGCCTATGGCCAATGGTTTTGGATAAACTCTGTTTTGGAACAAGTGTTTTCTTTAAGAGGAACCAGAGAGGCTCTGGTTGTTCCTTGAAAGGAACTAGAGGGGCTCTAGTTGGTCCTCATAGTAGAACCAGAGGGTTCTGGATGATGATTTGAGATTTATACAAGTGTTTTACTAAAGTTTTAGTTAAACCAGAGGCTTTGTATCTATTAGATAAGAGCTCTATGTCAAAATTTATACTTTAAAAGAATTTTCAAAGATTTTACACTTAGAAACTTTTCATACAAACAAAGACAGACCAGAGGGGCTCTGGTTGGCCTACGCGTTGAACCAGAAGGCCTCTAGTTGGTCTTGCATTTTGAGCCAGAAGCTCTGGCTAGTAGAACCAGAGCTCTGGTTATACAAGATCCATTTAAAACGTGTTTTTGTACTTGGGAAAACTATTTTATTATCTATGGTGTTGGTCTATACACGTTTTGGGGATTTTACTTAAGTAAGAGATTCTGGTTGGCCTAACCAGAAGCTTTGGTAGAGGAACCAGCGGAGCTCTGGTCCTGCTATCTTTTGAAATATTTTCTAAGTCTGGTATTTAAAACCAGAGATTCGATGGACGCAGGCAGAATGTGGATTTATACTTCTTTATGAGAAATAACTTATTTGAATAATGTTTTGGTGGTTATCACCCTGCAATTACATGGAAAAAAGGGATCTCACTAGACCTTTAGGTCTAACCCTCATTTTGTGTTTTCAAATATGTGTTGCAGGAAATGCAGAATATAATGATAGCAAGGGAAAGGGGAAAATGTGAATTGTTTCCCTATAGGCTTAGCTATATGAAGATCAATGGATGTATTTTGATATTAGGATGATATGTAGTACAAGAGCATGTATTTTGGAATTTTTGGATTGTGTAATTTGTAATTTAGTTCTTGTACTTTGGACCTTTGTGGGATTGAACACGTATTCTCTGTATGAATTATATGTTGTATGCAATGTGAGTTTCAGGGGTGTTACATCAACCCTTTGGCTTAGAGCCATTTTAGAAGAATTGGAACATATCCAGAAGGAGCCAACAACAATATTCTGTGACAATCGATCTGTTATTGCTCTTACTAAGAATCATGTATTCCATGGTAAGAGCAAGCATATCAGGATCAAATTCCATTTCATAAGAGAATTGGTATCAAATGGGGAAGTCAGGATTGAGTTTTGTGGTTCCACATATTGGAAACTTCACGATTATCAAGAAAAAACTTGGGTGCCAAACCATTCCTAGCTTAAGGGGGTGTGTTAAAATACTAAGCTAGTTATGGTTAGTTGACCGTTAATATCGTTGGCCGTTGGTAGTTAAGTTAGTTAATTGTCAGTTAGTTATTTTGGAAAGGTGTGACAGTTATTTAACTGTCATTCCTGCTCATTTAGGGTCACGTCTGTTGGTCAAGAGGTGTGTCCCTTGGCGGTGTATATATGTTTGTCTTTGGTGTCATGTAATAGTTTGATCGTCATGAAATAAAAGAAAACAGTTTGTGTGTTCTGTTAAATCCAACATCCTCTACCCCAGAGGGTAAGGAGACTGTTACCAGGAAGACCCCCGGCTTGCAAAAAATGTGTGTGAAAAAGAAAGCTTGCCTGAAAAGGCTAAACAACTAGGAAAAAAAGGAGAAAGAAAGGAAGACTAAGACTAGAAACGGAACTAGAAATTTCTCCAAAAAAAGGGATCTTTGGAGAGCTTCTACAAGACTCCCTAGAAGGTAATAAAACCTCTGCTTCTACAAGTAGCTTTGACGCCCAAAAGTACATAGATGCTAGTTTCACTTCAAAATAGTTGGGTAATTGTTGTATCTCATGAATCCTTAAGAGATATGGGCTAAATTCTAGACACAAGACATTGTGTGATGTATATGTGAAGTAGTAAAAGTCCTGCAGAACCCTAAAAGGTCAGTGGTGTTGGCTTCAAGCTTCGAGCATCAAAGAACAAACATTGGTTTGATATAAAGTCAATCCGGAGTTCTTCACGAAAACGACCTCTCTACCCTTGGAGGTAGAGGTAAGGTCTAAGTACAACCTATCCTCCCCAAACCCTACTTCCAGGTAGGATAAATTGGGTTTGTTTGCTTTGGATTAGGCAAGGCAGAGATCTAAGGGAAGAGGTAAGGTCTGCGCAGATCCTACCCTTCCCAGACCCTGCTTCCAGTGTGATACACTGGGTTCGTTTGGTTTAGTTTATACACGGCAGAGATCGCAGGTAGATTCAGCAACTCTCCGGACATTATTAATGATATTTCATCATTCATGAGTTTGATTTTCTCCATATTACTCTTAATTTTGATTTCCAAATCATGTTAGTCAAGGTTGCACAAAGGATGATATCACGATCTCGATTATGATCTCTAGATTTTAAGCATGATTTCAACTTTCAAGTTCGATTTGGTTAACATTCATGAAAAACAACATGCACAATTGCACACACATTAACATGTCTGAAACAGACTTCCACACTTTGCACTGTAACTTCCATTCTTGCTCCCCCTTTGCAGCTTTTGAAACTTTGATATAATTATTCTAAAGGCCTCTAGAAACCTAAGACTAATTAACAAGCATAAACACATATTAGAAAACAAACTCAAAACCAGTTAATCCATCATCAAATTCTTAAAAGCTTCTTTTGATCCTTGGAGAAGAGCATTTAACATTGTTGAATGTGATTATTCGGTGCAAACTTAGAACATTACATACACATAAGCTCTAGTATTTATATCATTTCATCGTAGATTCTTTAACATAAAAGAAGAGAGAAACGTCATGTACTTGTCTTCATCTTAACTATCTCGATTAATATATATGGTTATAATTTAGAAGACTACATCAAAGATATTATGAACTCAATATGATTATAGCATAGAAATTAGGGCAAGATGCATATAGGACTGCCATCAATTGATATACAGAAGGTTGATATAAGTAATGATGAAACGGAGGGCAGAGAATACTTACAAATACGCCACAAAACCAATGAAAATTCTCCTTCCTCTTCCCTCAACCGGCATGAATCAATGACAGCGAAAGTTGGGAATTAGGGTTTTAAAACATTAAGATGGATCTTGATGACACGAGATGCAGGTGGCAAGGGAGATCTGGGCTTGTTGGCATTGAGATCGCTTGAGGGCGGTTCCTTTATTGCCACAAAGGGTGCGTACGGCGGCTGATTCCTCAGGGCAGATGAAGGAAATCATGCATTCAGCAAGTGAACGGTTCAAGTGGCGGCAGGCGGCGTCACGAGGTGGACCGTTAGGGACACGGCGGTGGCACTGCAGCAACGCCTGGTAAACCCGATCACACTCCGCCGGCACCTCACCTGACATGTTTCGTGTTGCTCTCAGTGGAAACAAGCTACATTTTGGATGATTTGGGGAAATAACGTATCATAATGCAATGAATCAGCCGTTTATCTAAAAGCTTTAACGGTTTATAAAAAAGATATGGTGTTTGGATTGCTTATAAAAATAACTTATTGATTTATTTTGGTGTAGTATCGGTAATAAGTATTTTTTAGTGTTTGGATAAACAACTTATACCGATGCCAAATCGGTAATAAGAAGTTTTTAAAGAAGTTAAACTCTGTTGACTTATAATAAGTTGATAAGTGTTTTTGTAGAAAAGCATAACTTGTTTCAAATAAGCAATCCCAAACACCCCCTTATTCAATGACAGTGAGAAAAGGACCAATAGTGTTGTTTAGTGCTTACCAGGTAAATTGTTGTATATAATAAGTTTTTATCGACTAAATTTTTATCCAGTAAGTAAGTGGTAGAGTTAAATTTTACTGTTAAGCGAGTAAATGTTTAGTAAATGACACCTAAGTTTTAAAATGTGTTTTCCCATGAATGTAATAAAGTTTAAAAAAAATTATTGTGATTCATTTTGGTAGGTAATCGGTTGATTTTGTAACATTTAATAAAATAGATATCAAGTTTGTAATTCATTTCATTGGAAGTCTTTCATAATGTGCATCAACGTTCAATGACGAATCTGGAAACTTAGGTGACTGGGACTCTAGGGGTATAACAAGATTTGAAACCGAATAACTCATCCAACCCAAAACGGTTTCGGGTTATTCGGTTTGCAGATTAAAAGGTTTGGTTAGACGAATAAGGTAAATTTCGATTATTTTTTTACCATATCGGTTAATCAAATACCAAATTCTACTATTGTTTAATTTATATAATGTCCTTCTACATGAATTTGTTTGAACATATATAAAATTAACATCAGCTGAATTGATTTATCTTTTAAACTAAAGAACAAGAAATTGAGATATTTAACAAAATCAACCAAAGTATTATTTTAGTATGATAATGATTGCAAGAACTAGCGGAAACAATATACGAAAGAACAACTGTCAATCGAGGGAGTGGAGGATTTTATCAAAATGGACTGGACCACTAAGAAAACCGTTGAAAATGAATGAGGAAACTAGGACATAAGAGTGAAAAAAAATTCTAGAGTGTTTTTAAAAAAATTGACATTTGAGTGGGGGCCTTTCCCCCACCTTTCTCAACGTAAGTTCGCCACTAAGATGTATATGATGATTTATCCCCATTATAATTATAATTATACTAGTTGTGTACCTGTACAATACGGCGGAAGCCATGAAATTTAACAATTTTGAAGCTTCAGTGGTTTTGTGAGAGGATATTTTAACGATGATATAACTTACACTTGGTCTTTACATATTAATACAATTTGAATAAATAAGAGTTATGGTTCCAATTACAATCTATCAATGAAAAAAATTGTGTGACAATTTAAAATCCAATATATTTAAACGACTCCACATGTGTTTCTCAATCTCGATAGTTAACGGTCTTAATATCGTTGCTTTAGAAAAAAAACCAATATTCATCATATGCCTTTCTTGGAGATATATGACAAACTTTATTTATTCACAACCTTGATGCCTACCCATTTTGATTTCATCATCATGAAAACTATCTTTTTACGCAAATATACAACCACCGATACATTAAGAACACTTCACACCTAGCAGAAGTTGTAATGCAGCCATTGCAAACGATTTAAAACACTATTAAACCTTCCTTGTACAACAATTAATATAGGGTGTCAATGCTAGGAAAATGGTACATTATTTGTCATTGTCAACATAACAACCATGGGATGAGATGGATCTAAAGATCAATTTTTCTTGCAAAATACCATGAATGCATTGCAAGACTACCAAAAGACATAATGTTAGCTAGAGATGATAACCCATGAATCATCCCAACCTTCTTGTTCATTGGTGCTAGCTTCGGGTTCACCTTCTCCAACTTCTTCTCCAATGTTCGACTTCCTCTCCACCTTGTGCCTTTGCTTCATCATCTATAACCACAAATACATCAACATTAGATGCCACAATTAACCTATGTTCAAGTAAGCCCATTATCCTAACGATCTAAATTCAATAAATCTTTTACAAATCCCACAACATGAACTAATTATTTTGCCAAAATCAAACATACAAGGCAGATTTCCTTCAAGAGACTCTGTTCCAATTTCCAAATGCAATTATCACATTAAACTGCAGATAAGTAATCACATTTGGATTCCAAGCATTGAGAAACTAAAGAAATAAAGAACCATCAGACTATAAAGGCCAATGGCTTAACTTGTTCCCACTATCCTATTTGTTGCTTAGAAAGAATGTAGAAATTAGGACTATATGCAACTTAATGAGGGTCTTTAAGAGTAAAAACACAAAGGTAACTTGTGTTGATCATATCTCTTAGTGATTTGATGATAATCCCTTTTCACTTATACGTTGTATTTATGTTTCTGTCTTTTCAGTTCCAGCGATCATCATTGAGTCTGTTCAGTGATCGCTGAAGAACTTGTATTGTAATTCAATCAGTGACATCAATAATTCAAGAAGAACACTCACACCAAAGAATCTTCAGCTAATGTCGAAGACTGAAACTGAAGATTAGAGATTGGCGAGTACGTGATCTGAAGCGGTACTCAGTGATTACAAGTCTGTCTACATATATGTGAAGACTGCTCAAGCCTCAACGAATACTAAAGAGACCTCCAGGTTATTCCAACATTCAGCGATCAAATGGAAGTTTGCTTAGCACGATTGTTGTTGTCTTGTCCTTATGCACACAAAGAACAAAACCATACCCTTACTAATAGTTAGTACGGTACGTAGCCGACTAGTCGACTCTATTGCCCCACCAACTTTAGGTAAGGATGTCTGTTCATGAATAGTCCTTTTTGTACTACTTACTATAGCAAAGTACAAGCATTCCTCTTAAGGCTTGGCACGTACTCTAACCCTACCATATTGCATTAAATGAACATTTAATGCATTGGGTATAAATAGAAGTGTTTCTTCTCCATGCAGAATGCACGCAACTCACTCTCATAACCTAATTCTTACTTTGAGCATTCTATCTTGAGTAAAAGAACTTTTCTTTACATCATTTCTTTTCTCATTTGCTAAGATTCTGTGTGTAACCAAAGATTGTTTATATAGGTTTTCTTACCTTATCTTTCCGCAACTTGTAAAATTTGTATTGATCTTTTCTATCAATATATATTTTAAATTTGAAAATATTGTGTTTGTATTCACCCCCCCCTTCTACAAACTGTTTTACTTACCTTGTAGACCCTCAAAGGACTAACAAGTGGTATCAGAGCAGTGTTGTCTCTTTTCTAAGTTGTTTAATTGTTTTTCTGTATTAGTTTATCTCCTTCTCTAGATAACTTTATTGCTTTTAAATGGATTTGCAAATTACAAACACACACACACAAAAGATAATGACTCTCTTGCCAAACCTCCCCGGTTCGTCCGTGACAACTTTAGTCTATGGAAGAACCGGATGTCCCTCTTTCTTGAAGGTATGGATCTTAAAATTTCACATTACATAGAAAATGGACCATATGTACCTTTTTCTATTGCTCCGGCTGTTCCAGCAACAGCTACGACTGCCGCGATTCCTGAACGACAGATTCTAAAGCTTCCTCATCAGTAGAGTGATGAAGACAAGAAGAAAATAGCTATAGACACTCGCGCTAGGTCTATAATAGATATGTCTCTTTCTGGCAAGATTTATCACTCTGTGATGAAGCTCAAAACTTCTAAATCCAAGTGGGACACACTTTGTGTTCAATATGAAGGAACCGCTCAAGTTCAAGAAACTAGAAAGATCAATTAGTAAGGCAGTACGAAAGCTTTCTCTGTCGAAAGTCTGAAACGTTGTCTGAAATACATCAATGTTTTAATTGTCTCCTTATTGATCTAAGGGCTGTAGGCAGGGAATATTCCAATTCTGAAACTTTAACTAAGTTTATGGAATGTCTTCCTGAGTCTTGGGACACCTTTTCCATATGTCTTAAGATATCCAATGACATGTACACTCTTTCTCTCTCTACTCTCTACGGAATTCTGCTTAACCATGAGCAATCTCGTCAACTGAAGAGAAATCTAGTCAAAGATTCCAGAGAAATGAAAAGCTCTTTTTTAGCTTTGATCTCTAAAGCTTCTTCAACTGAAACCCCTTCTACCCCCTTTATTTCTTCTCTTCCTCCTGTTGTTGTTACAGAGATAGACTCTTCTATCTATGAGGATATTTCAAAATCTGATCTAGCAGATTTTGATGAATCCCTGGCCCTCTTGACTAAATTTTCCAGGAGGTTCGCCAGCAAAAGTAACTACCGTAGATCTCCTCAGCTACCCATCAGGGAAAAGCCAAAGTCTGAAAGAATAGACAAGGCTTCAGCTGTCTGCTACAATTGTCACCAGTCTGGACATTTTGCAGGTGAATGCAGATCGAAGAAAGTTGCGATGCCATCTTCCAAAACCGCATCCTCCTTCAGGACTAAGGATGAAAAGTACTTAAAACTGAAGGAGAAGTACATGAAGGTGAAGAACAACCAGCGAAAGGCTAAGGGCCTTGTCGCTGAAGAGCATGACTGGGCTGACTCATCCGATGAACCATCTTTTGACGAGGAAGATACAAACCCTATCTTTGCTTGATGGCCAAAGATGCAGATGAAGATTCTTCCGAAGCATCTACTTCTTCTGAGCCATCTACCTCTTCTACTACTCAGGTATGTTTCCTGAATGCACCATCTTCTTCTTCTACCCTATCCGCACTAGATACATTGACGGTTGATCTTTACAATGCCCTCAATGGCAAATCTAAAACAGAAATGCTTAATGTTGATCGTCAAGAACAATTGAAGATTTTCCATTCTAAGATCAAAGAGCTGACCTTTGTTGAAGAAAATCTTAAGGATCAGGTCATTGTAAACCAAGCCATCACCGTTGAATGCGAAAAGGCTATCGCTGAGCGTGAGCGAGCAATCGCTGAACTTAAG